TGGCTGCCCATTGCTCTGTAAACATAGCTGTGTAGCGTATCTTTCTGGGGCGTAGTTGAACAAGTCACCAGTGATTATTCCGTCGCAAGGAAAGGATGTTTCCTCTGTGTTGGACAGAGACGATAACCAGCACGGTTCAGAGGGGTCGTGATGTCTTTCCCCCCATGCTTTTTACTGAATGTTGACGTTTGTGCCAGTACAGGCGGGGTGGTGAGGTGTGCCTCTGACTCCTGCAGCGTGACATTCAGGAGGGGCCTTCTGGCGGCGTGGGCCAGTGGCACCGCCTCCTCCGGTTTGTCTTTGAACATGTTGAGGTCTCAGCGAGGGGACACGTGGGGTCAAGAGATTCTGCCACTAGCGTGCGTAGGTCAGCCTGTTTATCTACTTCCTTTTGCCTGCATGCCACTACACTCAGATAGGATGCTGGGGGACAAATTTAGACCTCCAGCTCACCCTCCATCTGCCGTGGCTAGCTGTAGGCCTGTCTCCATGGGAACCGGAGCCAGGTTGCCAAGAGTAAGAGCTGGAAAGAGAAGCACTAACTCTTTATCCGTCATTCTGCTCAGCTAATAATAAAAAAACACAATTTTAATGGATCTGACATGATGAAGACAATGAGTTATTGTCTTCATATAGAGCGTGATTGGATTATTATGATCACTTAAAAGCCAGCGCACTGCCATCAGTTTTGTAAGTATTGTTTGTAATTATACAAGCGTTAGACAAAATGAGCTCCTTCAATCAAGATGGTCTCCTTATTTACTACAGTCTTGACAAGCCGCCACGTGGCCTCTAGAGTCCTTGAATCTACTCTCAACTCCATAAAAGAGCCCATGTTATACATCAGCTGGGTCAGCTCACCGAAACCACTAAAAACAAGACAACCACATCCAGTCGGGAGATATTTATATCATTCTTGGTGGTGCAATTAACATACGACGAACAAGGTGACATTTCTGTTATCAAATCTGGCGAGTTGTCACAGTGGGAGGCAGAGAAAAAGCAAGAAGGGAGAGCTTTAAAATGTGTTTTTCCACTCCTGTCTAGAAGCGTCTGTGGGCTATTCTAAGAAATGACTTGACGATTTTATTATTTCATATACTCAAGCATACTTATTTTACATTTTCTTTGCAAAATGTAAGACTTTCAACATACAAAGGCTAGTTCATCCACAATCCATGATCCAGATCAGATTACCATGCCAGCATATCTTGAAAGTGAAACCAAACCTAAATTACAGTTTTTCCTTGAATTTCAGAGACTTTTGTGTGTGTTTAAACATTTGTGCAATATTAATACTAACTAGAGTTTAAGGAAGTGTGGATGGTGCTTTTTCAGAACTGTTATTATTGTAGTGTGTTGTAAGCAGTTATCAAGATGTTGCTAAGGTGCTTTGAGTGGTTTTTAGTCCATTGCTATATGCTGAAATGCTATAAGGGTTTACTAGGTGGTTTGTAGGTGTTTTTTTTAACTGGTAAATCAAGTGTTTCTATAAAATAGGACGTATGAACAGACATCCATTACAGAGTGATAACAACAAAGTCTCCTGTCTACATTTGTCTTTCTCTTTCTGCCCTTTTAGTTTAAATCCATTTGTATAAATCCAGACAGAAATTCCAACAATCAAGCAATGTAATTCTATAATAAACTGTACGCCCCATTCGCAGTAATAATAACCTTGTACAAATCAGGTGCGTTCATTATAAATTTGTGGTTCAGTCCTTTTACAGTCAAATATATACCTATTTCATGAATAATGATTAAGGTCTTAGTATTGTTATATCTTCAGTAATTGCTTGCTGTTGATAAAAACACTTTGTAACCAAAGCCTACCTCTGCTCTGAGAACGCTCATTAAATTGTTGCGCATCACTCAGCCAGCAGCAGCAGTTTGAGAAAGCAAACTCAGTCAAGAATCTGTCAAGTTATTTCAAGAGGAAAGCAGTTTTTTTCTGCTCACTGCTTTTCCCTCAGTGAACATCAAGTAATGAAACCTAAGATGGTGTAGTTTTTGTGAACATATGGGCAATGTATAAGGCACCTCACTGAAACAGTAAATAATTGCACAAATCCAATATTTTTGTTGTTTTCTAGTAAAATTATACCTAATATATAAATTTACTGGAAGTAAAATTGTGTAAGCTAGTAAGACTTGTTTTCATAGGATATATATTTAATTAAATATATATTTATTATTTATTAAATTTGTTAGATTTAGGCTTAAATTATGGGCTAAAGTTAATTCAAGATGTTTTCCCTGAAAAAAAAAGTATTTTATTGTTTACTGGAGGACAAGACTCGGATAACTAATTAAGAAGGATATTTTTCCAGTTTAATCAGAAACCTGGAACCCTGGATTTATTCACAAAAATGAATTACCATTTTTCTGACAAATCTTTTCTTCTTAGAGAGTTGAGAAAATATTCAGAATTAAACTATACAAACTACTGTTTGTGGATTTGTTGTCCATCTCAAAACAGCATAAAATGTGGTCTTTGAATTACCTCTGGCAGATAAACATCATTGCTCTTATAAGGAATAAGTTTTACCCACAGTGTTCATTTTGTGTAACAGTCTTGGAAATTCACTAAAGGGATGGCCCCTAGCACTCCTGGCTTTCATAGTATCTTGTATGTATGTACATAGACAAAATCAGCTTCTAAGCTATGATCCTTTTTTCATTCATTTTTGTTTGTTTTTGTTTTTGCTGAAAGGATGACACTTTGTCCCAGCCGCTTTTTACAAAGCTAAGGTTAAATGCCCAGTCTCAACTTGTGTGTGCAAGGAACAACTTGGAAGTTTAAAAGAGAAATACTACAGGTCAGTTAATGAAGCAAATAAGTAGCATGTCTCATTGTCCATTAGAATATTTTAAAGGGGTCATATGATGCGATTTCAATTTTTCCTTTCTCTTTGGAGTGTTACAAGCTCTTGGTGCATAAAGAAGATCTGTAAAGTTGCATAGACTAAAGTCTCAAATCCAAAGAGATATTCTTTATAAAAGTTAAGAGTCAGCCACGCCTACCTAAAACGGCTCGTTCTAACATGCCCGCACATATCTACATCACTATGTGGGAAGATTTGCATAACGCCGCCCAAATGTTCACGCAAAGAAAGAAGGCGTAACTTTTATTCTCGCTGTAGTTTTGTTGTTTCTGCCGCCATGTCGTAAAGACGCTGTGTGCTTCGTTGTGAAAGCGAAACTACTTTGTTTGGTCTTCCAAAAGAGGACGATGTCTACTTCGTCATTCCTGGAGCTGATCCGTGGTGGTTGCTGAGGAAATACTACAACTTTGCGCTGTCGATCGCCGGATCGGCTTTCACCATGGACGAAGCGTAGTCCAGCCCGGAGTCGTCACATGTGGCTGCTGCAAGCCCTCCGGACGCTCCTTCGTTGAAATCGCCGGCCGCGCCGTTCTCAAGCCCACCCGCCTCTGCTCACTCTAACCCCCCGGCCGTTCCTCACGCTAGCCCGCGGCCTCTGCTCACTGTAGGCCGCCGTGTGTGATGCTGTTTCGTTGTAAAAGCGAAACTACTTTGTTTGGCCTTCCAAAAATGGACACGACTAGAAATCAGTGGTTAAGTTGTATTTACAACACTGTTCCAGAACAGTACAACCGAAATATTCAGATGTGTACAACACATTTTATGGAGGACCATTTCCTGATCCTGGGAGAGTAGACTACAATGCCGGCTGTTCTGACTCAAAGACTGTAAGTACGTTTTTTTTATTTTTAAAGAGTTTTTATATTTTATATATTTAAAGCGAGTTTTTTGAGCAGTGTAGAGTAGGGCTTGTTGTTTGTCATTTCTCTGATCACAAATGCAGACATGGTTTTATGTTTACGCGGCACGATGCAACGCAACATGTAAAAAGACAGTATAAGTCATTATAATCCATAATTATGTCCCCACTGGATGCAACGAATGCCTCGTTTATAATGGGTTTTCATGTTTTTGAATCATCGCTCTGGCCTGACAGGGCATCATCACAATATGGTGAGGGGAATAACATTTCCTTCTCACGCTTGAGGTATTCGGCCAATCACAACGCACTGGATAGCTGGCCAATCACAGCACACCTCGCTTTTTCAGACCGATGAGCTTTGTAAAAATCGATGCGTTTCAGAAAGGCGGGGCATAGAGGAGAAACAATAATGTACAGTATGTGGAAATAATGTGTTTTTTTAACCTTAAACCACAAACACATTTCATTACACCAAATACACAAAATACTGTTCTTTTTAGCAGCATCATATTACCTCTTTAAAGAATTGTCTTTCTGGAATTCTCTTATAGCAGTTTAGAATTAGGAATAGGAATATATGATTTGCAAATTAATCTCTTTTTAAGTTGATTAATTTATATAATTTTAAATTAATTAAGCAGTAGTTGGTAGTATAGCTTGCTGTATTTTTGAATAGCTTACATAATCTCATGTAGCCAGACCTTCAGACTGACAGCAGATGGTCTGGGAACCTTGGCCGCTTTGTATGGCCAAGGACCGCCCAAGAGGCCATATGACTGACAGGTAAAGCAACCAATCCTGTTTCGTTTTGTGCGGCATCATGTTTAGGGGTGTGGAAATGTCCCCACAATAGCATACCGGTGTGTAAAACTCTTGGACATATTTTAAAGACTCTATGCCGCAAAATATATAAATATTTCAGATACTTTTGAAAATCCAGTGTTTAGTTGATCCTAATAAGCACTCATTATCACAGAAGTAAACACTACAGCTTTCTTCTTCCATGAGGGGGTTTAGCATCATGGCATCTTTGTTTCCAGGCAGAACGTTAAAGAATGCGACACACATATCTCCAGGAAATCCTGTATAATTCAACCAATCCGATGACGACTTTGAAACTCCTGAAGTGTTTCCAATTTTGTGTGCCATATGCATCAGACGTTCAGCCAATGGTCTATGGGTGTGACATCTGAGGCTGAGACTAAAGCTTACCCAACACTAACCACGTCTTTTATGTTTCCGTGTCTCTGCAGGGCCAGTGAAGTTCTAACATGTGACAAGCTGAAGATGGGAGACAAATAGGTCTTAAAGAATTATTCAATGTCAGCAGAGAAAGTGCCTCAAAAGCATCTTGAGACATTCTTTGTCAAGCCCCATTGCCAGGCATCAGCCGAAAAGACACACAAAGATGAATTTCACCAAGGCTATTTGTGAACAGGAGAGGCGACATATAGCACATAACCAGCACTCATTTATATGGCGGCTGCATACTGACACCGTTTAATTATGCCTTTGTTAGTTAAGACACCATCCGGTATCTTACATTAATTATGGCATAATACAATTAGCCCCCTAAGTGAGTGTAAAGACTTTTTCCTGTCGGAAGAGTATTGATGCAATGATGTTTATCGGATTGGTGCTCAAAAAAACATTCTCATTGCATTCTTAAGGCCTCCTCCCCACATCTTATGGAGGCGGAGGAAAAGCAGTCAGCCGATGGGAAGCGGTCTGGTGGGCAACAGCAGCCATCAGAGTCTTTTTTAGCAGCACAGCTGCCTCAGTTACAGCAACAAGCTACCTCACAATCTGTCCATGGATCACATGGCCGCCTTCAACACAGGCAGCCAAAACGCTTTGAAATGCTCCAAAGGCAGAAGCAGCAGCAACAGTCACAATCTGGTGGGTCATCTTGGCAGCTTACAGAAGTACCTGGTCCTTCAAGAGGCAGCTGTTCTGCCCTGGGAGATTCGTCTCCCCAAATTCATAATATTAAGCAAACTCAGTCTCTGCCCAGTGTGGAAGTACAGGAAGGCACCCTATGTAGACGAGAACGTAAGCCCCAAAAACCAGGGAAATATGTGTGCACATACTGCGGCCGTCCTTGTGCAAAGCCTAGCGTCCTCCAAAAACACATCCGATCTCACACTGGAGAGAGACCTTATCCATGTGTCCCATGTGGCTTCTCCTTCAAGACCAAAAGCAACTTGTACAAACACCGCAAATCCCATGCGCATCGAATAAAAGCAGGCATGGCCTCAAGTCTTGAAGAGACCAGTTTTATTGGGCCGGGAGGTGGAGCCTTGGGATATGAACAAGAAGAAGAGGGTACAGAAGGAGAGAGTACAGCTTCTGAGGATGAGACTGGGCAACACCAACCATCTACCTCACAGGGCAGGCCAACTCTGAAAAAAAGTAGTAAAGTGGAATTGTCATTTGTAGAGGAGGGTCCCCAAACTGAGGATTCACAGGCCGTCAAGCAAAGGTTAGCAATGAGGCTAAGTGAGAGGAAGCGAGCTCCCAGAGCATCTTCAGATGAAACCCGATCCTCACTGGGTCCTGGCAGTAAGGGGAGCACAGAATCTGGCTATTTTTCCAGTTCTGGGAGTGCTGAGCTCTCCCAAGTAAGCCCACCAAATGCCAGTGCTAAAACGTATGCTGAGATAATTCTAGGAAAGTATGGACGCCTAGGACAACAGCAAAGAATTTCACATCAACAACTGCAGTTATCATCATCTTCAGGTCAACAGGAAAAAGCAATCCCTTTCACTGTTCCTAAGACACAAGTCATTGAGCATATAACTAAGCTAATTACTATAAATGAAGCTGTGGTGGATACAAGTGAAATTGATAGTGTCAAACCAAGACGTTCCTCACTCTCTAGAAGAAGTAGCATTGAGTCTGTAAAGTTCTCTTCACCCAAAGAACCCTGTGTTTTTGAACCAAAAGCGGATGCTCCAGGCTCTTGCGGCTCTGCTGTTCAACTTGTTTCTGGTAGTTTTGCAAGTGAATTACCTGGCTCATACTTGGCTGAAACAGAAACATTGGCTGGTCAGAGCTCCAGTGCTCTTCTCTATAGGAGTCAATCAGTGCCATCTTCTCGTAATACTCCAGATACAGCTTCACACGGCTTTCGTCTAAGTCATTCTTTTGATGATCAGCAGGCCATAGCAGCTGAAATGAGGATTGGGCCACATCAACGAATGTTACGACGCCAACCTGCTATTGAGGTGCCGGTTGGAGTGGACCTCAGTATTGAGGATGCAGGTCCTTCTAGTTTGAAAGAAATAGAATTAGGAAAGAAGCCAGACAGGGAATTTCACCTTTATGAGTGTGAAATTTGTGGGACTCGCTTGAAGAAGCAGGACTCTTACACATCACACAGACTAGCGTGTATGAGTAAATCTCCACATGGTCTGCAAAGTGAGGAAGGCAGTTCTTTTCCTGAGAATCAGCCACAAATTATGAGCTACAAGTTTAAAGCAATGGCTATGGCTGTGCGCAAGAGGAAAAAAAAAGAAGAAAGTCTTGAGGAAGACCCTCCCAGTCCAGGTCCAACAGCAGTGTCTTTCAGCACCCAGCCTCCATCGATGCTAGGCAGTATTGATAATCAGGGCACACCTTGTGGCCTTTCACAAAGTGAGGTAGAAAGGAGGTTTCCCTGGAAAGAAATTTCTGTTATCCAGCATACCAGATCCTTTGAAAAACAGGAAAGCATCTCTATGGCAAATCAGGAAGCACAGCCAGAACACGAGCAATCACAGGAGCCAAAACCAGCCTCCATGTCCCGGTTAATCCGTCAACCCAACATTCAAGTGCCAGAAATTCTGGTTACAGAGGAGCCAGATACCGAGATGGTCTCTCATCCAGCGAACACTTACACCTCTAAAGAGTCAGAGAAGGTGGAGGAATTCCAGTGGCCTCAGCGTAGCCAAAGTCTGGCTCAGCTCCCTGCAGAGAAGCTACCGCCAAAGAAGAAGCGTCTCCGTTTGGCTGAGGCAGCCCAATCATCAGGAGAATCTAGCTTTGAGTCAGTATCCCTGCCACACAGCCCAAGCCAAGAGAGCAATGTTTCCCATGCCTCCAGTCGATCTGCATCCTTTGAGGAATCAGGAAGGCCAGACTGTGAGATGCAGAGTAGTACCTGGAGCTCCCAAGGGTCTCACATGCTGACTGTTCCATCAAGTCTTCATCAACACCATCATTCTCACAAAGAGATGCGCCGCTCAACCTCTGAACAGGCATCTGCAAGTCCTCCACACCCTGCACATGTAGAGGAAACAAGAAGTAAGTCATTTGACTATGGCTCTCTCTCTCAAGAGCGCACTTCTGCTACTTGGAAGGAGAGGAGGAAATGTCTCTTGGTGAAGCACGGAACCCTTGGTGAACCTGACCAGGAGGAGTCATGTACTAAACCTGGCATCTCTGCTGTTTGCCAGTCCTACCCAGGTCATCCTCCATTCACAATCACAGAGGATAGAATGGGAGGCAGGACCTCTAGGGTTAGCTCGGAGCATATAGGGAAGACCTTGCAGCTTTTCCAATCCCCTCTTTCCCTCCCACCAGCAGTTTTCCCCCTACAACAAGCAAACCCTGATTTTTGTTCCCCAAGTCAGCTCACTAGATTCCTTCCAGTCACTACAGCAGTCGTTTCTTCCCAGATGTTTCAGCAAGCCTTCCTTCACAGTGAGCCACCTCCGCCACATCCAAGACCCATAGAATATGTAGAACACCTGGGATTACCCCTTCAGCCACTCACCACTTTATTCCCTCTACATTCAAGTGATGTTGCTGAGGATGTTTGCTTTCCCATGCCAGGTGGACTGACTATTCAGGTCCCCTCAGGGCCTCTTTTCAGTGAGTTTAGGTCATCACCTTCCTCATTGCATACTCCCAGTCATTCACAACAGCAGTTAGTCGTCCGCCACAACCCCCATCCCGTGATTGCTCCTTGTCTTCAACAGCTTATGCCAGTGGTGTCTCTTGTAGTGCCTGTGCGCTTACAGACTCACATTCCTACCTATGCTAGTGCCATGTATACAACCATCTCACAAATTTTAGCCACAACGCAACATCCAGTCTGCTGCACAGCTATGGTAATCATGGGTAAGCTGGAGGAAGACAAGCTTCAGAGATCTTACCTTAGGCTGGCCTCACCTAACCCCAAGAGCTATATTCCCTTGCCACTGCCTCTCGAGCATGGAGCAGGTGCTTCATCTGATGACAGCTGTGGGCAGCTTGGTGCTGGAGGAAGCAAGCGAATGCTGTCACCTGCAGGTAGTCTAGAACTCAGTTTAGAGGCACAGCGGCACCAAAAACGGGTGAAAGAGGAGGAGGAAATAGAAGAGTGTGACAAGGAAGATGACGATAACAAATGCGACAAATCTCAGGAGGTGAGTCAGGCAAAAATTAAGCAGAGGCTAACAGTGGAGATGGCAAGGAGGGCCAAAGATCCAAGGGAAGTAATAGAAACTGAAAAGTTAAGCAAGCAGAACTTCACCCAACACAAATCTGAAACCTTGGAGGAGGAGGGAAGGAAAGAGGTGGGACATTGGTATGCTCCAAGGGTAACAAGTCCAGAGAGAACTGTGGACCCCTCATACCCCAGTTTGCACACCACTACATCCGTCAGCTGGTGCTACCTGAATTACACAAAGCCCAACCCCTCTACACATAGAGATTCAACTTCCGTCTATTCCTCATGGAGTGTTAGCATGCATAACCCGTGAGTGCATTTATTTAAACAATTACGATTTTCATAATTTTTCAGCCCTAGTTTGTAGTAGATGGTTCGAATTATATCATTTTTAGTATAAAAATGAAAGGACAGCAGAATGATGGATTAATGGATAATAAAAAGGAGAGAGAGGAAAGCTGACCTGTAAACATAAAAAGCTTTGAATTCATTAGCTGGGTCTCTTGCATTCATCTGCTTATGCAGGGCTCTCAATGTGGTTAAGTGCTTAAACTGCGGCAACAACTCACCACAACCTGCATTTTTATCCCTGCTTCCTTTGTCTCTCTCGCTGCCTTTATTTCGCTCCTACGGTTCTTCTGCCTTACACACCCACGCACTCCCTAATCACATCAGTCTTTGCGCTCTCTGTCTCGCACATACACTCCATTTTGTCTCCAAAACTTCTCACAACCATCAGCACCCTTTTGTCTTTGCACCTCTCATAGCTGTATTTGTTGTTTGCTTTCTTCCTCACAAGTAGAACACAATCTTACTGAAGGGCATTCAAAGGTACCAGTTTTTCTGTAGTCACCGGCCCCTTTCAACGACACTTTTCTAAAAATAGTCGACAGGTGTGTTTGTATATTAAAATACTTTAATGTCATCCCTCTGATTGCATTTGCAGTGTCCTGAATGAAAGCCGGGTCCTACAAAATTGTGTAAAGTGTACTAGATTTTTTTAACGTAGAAACAGATGTTTAGCGAGTTGTTTTCTCTCCACCCCATCCATTTTTACACTTATCATTAAAGCCTACAGACAGCTTTCAAAATGCATATGCTGTCTACAGAAACACATCCCATCCTGCTGCTATCATAGCTGCCAGATAATGCAGATGAGGATTCATACTGTAGCAGTCAATAATGCAATTATACATTAATATATTCTCTCTGACTGTGGGACTCACAGCATTGCCTCATAAGTCTGTAACAAAGATTGTCACAAAATAATAAATTATACTTATTAATACTAAATAAAATGTACTTTTTTATTATTTAATTTTTCTTGAATATTTAATATTTAAAAAATATTAGTATATATAAAGTATGTTTGTTAACCCCGAGAGGTGATTAAGACCATTTTAACTGTCTTATTTCACCCTATATGGGTTTAGTTTGCAATAACACTACTTACTGGTTCTGCAATTTTCTGCGTATTACATGGCTGCTCATACCAAATAAATACATGTATATGGATATGAAATAAGGATTTCGGTTGTTATCTTATTATCTTAGATTAGGTTCATGTCTCCGCTAAGAAGAATAGTCCAATATGACAAAAATCAGCACAACAACCACACAAATACTGCAACAATATTACAAAATGAATTTATATTTATAAATTATATTGTTCATCTTTAACACAAATTACTTTCTCTATGGACTAATTATCTAGTATATTTAGCCTCATCCAGCTCTCTCTATTTTTTGATTCTAGCCAAATGTACTTTTAAGAGCAATGTTTTATACATTCCTTTTAAAATATATAGGAATGTCATTAAATACAACTAAATCTCTTGTACAGTAGATTGTTTATTGGGTAAACTTGTATCAAGTAAGAGACCTTAAGTAAACACATGATATGGAGTTAATAGATATTTATATAAGGCCAGTTTTATCTCTCTATGCTGAATTGGAATTTTCTTGCCAGCAAGAAACACCTAGTTTGTGCCAAAGCGTGGTTTCTTGAGACCATCAGTGGACTGACAAGTGCTGAAAATATAGTGGCAGTCCAAACCTCTTCTAATGAGGCATTCAATGTTTTGGAAAATTCATATCAGGATCCTGCCAAAGGGAAGACTCTATCTTTATATTATTCATCTTAATGAGTCTATTATTTTTATTAACCTCTGTCTGTCTCTCTCTCTCTCTCTCTTCTTTCTCACCTGAGCAGGTATAAGTCAAATGAGGACTATGTGTATGTTCGGGGTAGGGGAAGAGGAAAATATGTGTGTGGGGAATGTGGGATTCGCTGCAAGAAGCCCAGCATGCTAAAAAAGCACATTCGCACTCATACAGACGTCCGTCCTTACGTCTGTAAGCACTGCAGCTTCGCCTTTAAAACCAAAGGTAGACATATACCTCTTTTTCAAACTCATCCCATCCTGTTACATCACAGTTCTTCTGTGTTTGTCTCTCTTATCACAAAATGGTGTCATTTTTGTATCCTGTGTCATTGAGAATACCTTTTCCTCAAAGGGAACCTTACCAAACACATGAAGTCCAAGGCCCACGGTAAGAAATGCCTGGAGATGGGAGTGTCAGAGTCATCTGTGGATGAGCTGGAGACTGAGGAAGCAGGTAGGGTTGCCATAAAGAGTTGTGGTTGATGGAAATTGGGTCTGTGAAGGACAATATATAACTGCAGCTTGATCATTTAATCCATTGTCCACGTTTCTCAGTAATAAAGTAAGGAATTATTATAGACATTCAGACATGGTTTATTTTGTTACAGGTCAGTGCATATAAAGTACATGCATATTGCTCACCCTTTAGGCCATAGACCAATTCGAAAACATATTCTACCATATCTAGAAATTTTTTAGCTTGTTTTCTTCATTGGTGCAAAAGTGATGTCAACCTTGCAGTGTGCTTTCAGACTTGAAAGTTGAAAGAGGCCAATGAAAATAGTTTGCCATAAAGAAAAGCAAGACTGACCTTGTTTACCATGTTTATATAAAGCCAGAACTGAAAATTGTCTCTCTCTCTTACTTCGTCTCTTTCTTGACATTTCTCATTCTCAGTGCATCTAAGAGCTACAAGGACATTTCATTCAGCCACATTCCATTCGTTAGATTTTAAATGTAGCTGATGAATGAAGCACAACTCAAAAACACATTTTTTTTTTTGCATTTGAATGTTATATATAGCCTTCCTTGGGGGATTAGTGAGAGTTTATGAGAGTTTTCAGGACAAGGGAATTTTTCATAAATGTCAAGTTGAGGCAAGTTGCCCACATTCCATTCATTAGATTTTAAATGTAGCTGATGAATGAAGCAAAACTCAAAAACACTTTTTTTTTTTTTGCATTTGAATGTTATATATAGCCTTCCTTGGGGGATTAGTGAGAGTTTATGAGAGTTTTCAGGACAAGGGAATTTTTCATAAATGTCAAGTTGAGGCAAGTTGCAACATGCCTTTCAAACATTTTATACTGCTGTTATACCGTTATACTATGGATGTATCGAATTGATTAAAAGTAATGGTAAAGACGTTTATAATGTTACAAAAATGTATATTTTCTGTTCATCAAATCCTTGAGGACCAAATCAGCATATTAAGAATGATTTTTGAAGGATCATGTGACCAGGGTTATGGCGGCTAACTGGAACTAAAACTGAAACTACAATTAAAACCATAAAAAACATGTTTGTTACTTGAAAAAAAAAAAAAATATATATATATAAAATAAATAAAAAAATTTGATGTACTAAAACAAAAACTAATAATAATAAAATTACTAACAAAAAATTTTACTAACTAAAATTAAAATGAAAACAGAAAATCTAAAAATAAAAACGAATTCTATAAACTATAATAGCATCTCATTGATACTAATATAACACTGCAAGTGACACTGAAGACTGGAGTAATGGCTGCTGAAAATTCAGCCTTGCCATCACAGGAATTTTGATATAAATTAAAATAGAAAACACTTCTTTTAAATTGTAATAATATTTCACAATTTTACTTTTGGTGAGCATAAGTGACTTATCAACCTTAGACTTTTGAACAATAGTACCAAAATTACTTCTACGAAAAATGAGTTTACACCTAGAAATATTAACTGGATCAAAAAGTGTGACAACTGACCCCAGTCTTCCCTTTGGTTCATTTTTAAGTTGTATCTATTTGTTTTGTGTGTCGACTCTTTTGTTATATTTATGAACACATCTCTTTCTGCCCAACAGGGGGCAGTGAGGAGCGAGTGTGTGAGTCAGAAGATCTGGAGGGGCACCAGTTCTCTGATTTTGAAGATTCTGAAGCAGAAGATGATGAGGATGAGGAAGAGGACTTCTCTTCCCATGATGAACCATCTTCAGTCTGTTCCACTGATACTCGTCAGTCCACAGGTGACCTCTCTGAAAGTGGCCAAGGGTCACAGACTGAGCCCTCTGACCCTTCAGCAAAAGAGGAATACTCCTCACCCCACAGACCATTGCCTGGCATACGAGCCGTATCTCCAGGCAGCAAGAGGGCATTGTTCTCCCGCAAGGGCTGGGAGGTTTCCCCGAGGACCTTCTCCCCTAGCAGTGAAGGCTCTCCCCTTAGAAGCCTGTCTCCTAGGCTTGAATTGTCCTCACCTAGTCGTCATCTCTCTCCTTCCCCAGAGAGGGGCCCATCACCCATCAGAGCCCTCTCCCCTCTCAGGCCTATCTCACCTCTGAGGCCTGTATCCCCGGCACGCTACAGGAGTGCCAGAGCTCTCTCCTCTCATATGCCCCTAAAGCCCCAGCATCGGCCACACAGCTCACCTGCAGGGCTCCACTGGGAACCTAGCACACCAGCTACTGAGGGTCAAGAGGTGGGTAACGCAACACAATTTAAATAATGTTTTCAATCCAGACTTATTGGAAAACCGTGCCTGTGGTGACAATTCTGCTAAAGGATATTACATTTCTTCTTGCATGTTTTGGGGCACTTTCAAAGTGAAATGTCCAGTGAGTGCGCTAATAGTACAAGAAAGAGATGAATGTGAATGTGGTATTATTTTATTATGTTGGTCGTTGTACGGCAGTTGTGAAAAGAAAGGTTAAAGGGGTCATATGATGCTGCTAAAAAGAACATTATTTTGTGTATTTGGTGTAATGAAATGTGTTTATGCGGTTTAAAGTTCAAAAAACACATTATTTTCCACATACTGTACATTATTGTTTCTCCTCTATGCCCCGCCTTTTTGAAACGCATCGATTTTTACAAAGCTCATCGGTCTGAAAAAGCGAGGTGTGCTCTACTTGAAATCGCATCATATGACCCCTTTAATGCTGTGTCACGTTTGAAAATAATATACCTACAGCAGCTACCAGAAAAGACAAATGTGAGATGAAAGTGCAGTTTTCTCAGAAACAGATTAACGCGATTGTGGCAACATTTTAATGTGTTGTTTGCTGTAGATAAGGTGTGAGTTCAGAAATGAAAAGTGCTTTGTCACGTTTAAAATTAATGTACTACCTACGTTACTAAATCCTAACTAGCAAAGGCAAACTTTAGATAATAGATAAAAGCGCCGTTTTCTCAGAAACAGATGAACGTGAATGTGGCAACATGGTTGTATGTATCACAGCAAAGGCAAACTTAGGATAAAATTGCACTTATGTTGGATTTTTTTCTCTCTATTATTTAGCTTCAAAATGACAATGTCAGCAAGCAGTGTTCATCAACAAAATGTTGACAGATGTTTTTGGATTTTGTGAACAAAGAAAATTGTAAATTGTGATGATAATTATAAAAATATTTAAACAAAAAATTTTTTTTAATTAAGAATATATACTGTTGAGGAAAATATTATGAACAAAAACACTGAAAGATATTAACAATGCACAAAAAATGTTTTTTAAAGGATAATAATCCATGAATCCAGTGAATCCCAGTAAAAATGTGAGTCATGTTGTAAATGCATTCTTTCTGTAAAAACCCGTTAAAACATGGACAAGGATTTCAACAAGGGATTCAACAATGAATTCCAAACACTGTATTACTCTTTTACACTAGTTTACAAATGTGTCCGATTTGTCAGCTAAATGATTTTCATTGACTAAAATTAGAAACCATTTTAGTCAGAGTACAAAAAAAAGGGGGGAAAAAGCAGTGTAAAAATTAACACTCATGAAACAAAGGAATATACAAGTTTGATTGCAATGCCACGTCTCCCCCTACAGGACAAGCCTGGTACTCCATCTCTACAGGAGCGTATGGCCCCGGATCCCTGCCTGCTTTCCCCATCCCTACGCTTCTCTCCAAGTGAGTCTTTCCCTCCCACTCTTGTGACACCACGGACCGTGGACCGCATGTTTAGCCACCTTCCTTTACACTCCCAAGATCAAGCCCGCATGCCTTATCACATGATTCCCATTGGGGGCATCCAAATGGTGCAGCTCAGACCCCGATCACGCCCCAAACGGGAACGACAGTCATCCTCCACCCCTTCACCCACTTCTCCCAAAGAGGACTCCCCTTTTTCCCTCACCAGGAGGGATTATCCATGGATCTCGCTTCCGGAAACCAGTCCGCAAAGAACTCTGGCAGACAAAAAAGCAGTGTAAAAATTAACACTCATGAAACAAAGGAATATACATGTTTGATTGCAATGCCACGTCTCCCCCTACAGGACAAGCCTGGTACTCCATCTCTACAGGAGCGTATGGCCCCGGATCCCTGCCTGCTTTCCCCATCCCTACGCTTCTCTCCAAGTGAGTCTTTCCCTCCCACTCTTGTGACACCACGGACCGTGGACCGCATGTTTAGCCACCTTCCTTTACACTCCCAAGATCAAGCCCGCATGCCCTATCACATGATTCCCATTGGGGGCATCCAAATGGTGCAGCTCAGACCCCGATCACGCCCCAAACGGGAACGACAGTCATCCTCCACCCCTTCACCCACTTCTCCCAAAGAGGACTCCCCTTTTTCCCTCACCAGGAGGGATTATCCATGGATCTCGCTTCCGGAAACCAGTCCGCAAAGAACTCTGGCAGACAAAAGGACAAAAAGCCAAGATGAGGGAGCCAGCCGGTCTGACCTGTCTTGTCCAAGTACTAGTTCGAGGTTACCTAAACTCCCCTCTTTACAAAAAGGTGTAGGGGAGCAACAGACTGCAAAGGTCAGAAAGCAATATGGCGACTCGAGGTCTGCCACAAAGACTCACACCTTCAGTCCCGAAACATCCAGGAAAGCAGTGACAGACAGCGATGCAGGAGCTGAGAGGATCTCACAGGGGGAAAGAGCAAGTTCTTCACGTGAAAACAGACAGCTGCGTGAGACGGAAAAGCCTGTAGCGGCGCCACTCAGGGGACGTGGTTCTTTTTCAGAAGGATGTTCAGGATCTGGCAGTGCTCTTCAGAGCCAGGAAGGTGATCAAGATAGCACTTAAAAGCCTCTGTGCACAATGGTGAAATGCTTTCTACTGCTAATACTACTATTGTTTTGTTTTGTAATGCGCTTATTTTTTATATACAACATTTTCAATACTATTGGTAACTTGGTAAATGTTTGTTCTGCAATATTCAAGATTGTAATATGATGCACTTTTTTTTTTCTTGGAAAAAAATATTTCTGTAAATCGATTACGTCTGTCCCTCCTATCTGTATTGACATTGCAATCTTAATATATCTATTTGAATAAGTATATGTACTTGTAAAACATTAAGAATGGGTATGAATACATTTCTAAGTGACCAAGATGAAAACTTTAATCAAGAGTAATTCCAATATTTCGTCTCTTGTCCAGTATTGCGCAAATTCTAGTGATGTGTGCCTTTTTCTGTCCAGATTTACTGCTTGAAGTGTCAAAGGTGAAAAGCTGTGAATTCTTTTTATGAATATAGTTTTTTTTTTTTTTTTCCAAATGAGCTGGTATTTGAAAAGCAGGAGGATTTTCTTTATACATTAGGGTAAATGAGACAGGCAATGCTGTTGAATAGACAAGAAACAGGTTTCGGCAGAGAGCCTTGCAGGGAAATTGCACTGAAGTCATATTTTTTTATAATACAAGTGATTAAATGATAAATTGTCTCTGTACAGATAGAAAGTCTATGGTCCATATTTATTGCCATGTGAAAATATGAAAATGCCTATGTTTTGTTTACTTTGGTTTTCAAAGGGATTTCTATTGTCATTTGTATTATTCTTTACACTTTTATTAATAGTTAGTTTTTTTTAGTTATGACCTCAAGACTTGAAATGAAGAAACTGGACAGGCTTTCAGTGAAGTTGGTCAATAGTCGAGGTTCTGGATGGATCAAATGCCCTCCAAATTTGTCACAGACATTTTGCATTTCTGAACCAATAAAAGTGCTCCAGGAATTACTAAACCTGCTTATGATGGTGTCCAGTGTTTGCAACCAGCAGATGGCGCAGTCTGTTCATTCAGGCCACTTTCATTCTCATTTTTTAGGTCTCCCACAGGGACCTGAGTATGTGGTTTTATAGTTTCCAGGAGAAAAAGATAGCAGCATAGTCAAATATCTAGGCTTCCACAAGAATTTCTATTCCCAAGTGAAAAACATTTGAGTCTGAGACTTGGCAGATCATCTGTTCACTTCCTAAAGGCAGTTTGTCCAAGGCTATTTCACAAGTCTCTTTTTTTATTTTATTTTTTTTATAGTTCATTCTTCTTGAGACTTTTCAGACTCGGTGATGTAAAAAAAATTGTGTTTTATCCATGTAGAGTTTCACAGTTGCGTGTGACGGATGTGTTGGCCGTGGAGAATGCTGCTCAGACCTTGAAGCCACACTCTTAATTTCCTCAAAATCTTTATCTGAAAGGATTCAAGGTACAAGGTACAAGATGTGCTATTGGCATAAACATACAGTAGGACAAAAGACATAATGTGAAATGTTTAATCATTTATGACTAAATTTATGCAGACCGTCTTGTTGTATTAGATTATTACTTTCAATCAATTGCTCTTACTACTGAATAAGTGTTTACTAAGGATCTGTGTGAATAAGAACAGATGATGTTCTATCAGTCTGGTTTCCTTCAATAAGAAATGAAATGATATTGAGCTCAGTTATACGATCCCACCAGACTGGCTTTGTGTAATTGTCATTCTCATGCCATAAGCCAAAGATGTAAGTACAATCATTAATCAATGGAAAGCTACAGGTTAAATGGGTCAAGTGATTAAAATTTAAATGTGGTTCAACCCAGGTGCAGTTAGTGCCATGCCCAGATCTTAATTTGCCTTATCGTTATCACTTTCTCTTGAATACAGTCTGGTGCAAACATTAACCTATCCCATTGAGTGATACACTCCACAACAATGCATTTTATTTTCTGTCTCTGTTTTCGCAACAGTCTGATGCTTGGGATTGTCTTAATACAACACTGGAAGATATAGACTCAAAGCTATGCACTTGTGTACATTACACACACACACAGTTTTCCCCCATAATTTTAAAAGAAAGCAAAAATGCTACTTAGTTAACAGAAAATCACTATATAGAAAAACGACAACGTTTTTGCAGAATTATTCACTTTTACTGAAATAATTAAAATATTGTAAAAAAAAAATATATATATATATATATATATATATATATATATATATATATAGTGTCTTGCAAAAGTATTCATACCCCATTAATTTTTTCACATTTTGTTATGTTGCTGCTTTGTTGCTTTAAATTACTTTTTTTCCACATCAATCTACACTCCATACACCATACTGACAAAGCAAAAACAGAATTGTCACAACTTTGTAAAATTTTTTACAATAAAAACAAAATTAATAAATTATACAATAAACTAAAATTAATAACTAAATATTTCGCTGAAGCACCTTTACAGCCTCAAGTCTTTTTTGTTTGATGCGACAAGCTTTGATAATCTTCATTTGGCAATTATCTGCCATTCTTCTCCTCACCTCTTCACCTCTCAAACTCTGTCAGGTTGGATGGGGGCAGACGCACATTTTCAAGTTTCTCCAGAAATATTTGATTGGGTTCAATTCCAGGCTGTGGCTGGGTCACTCAAAGACATTCACAGAGTTGTCTATAAGCCACTCTTGCTGTGTGCTTAGGTTCATTGTCCTGTTGGAAGGTGAACCTTCTGCCCAGTATGAGGTTCTGAATGCTCTGGACTGGGTTTTCATTAAGGCTAACTCAATATTTTGGTGCATTGAGCTTATCTTCTACTCTGACGAGTCCCTCGGTCCCTGCCAGTGAAAAACAGCCACACAGCATGAGGCTGCTACCAGCACACTTTACTACTGGGATGGTACTCTGCATGTGATGAGCATTGCCTGGTTTCCTTCAAACATGATGCTTGGAATTGAGGTTCATCAGACCAGAGACTCTTGTTTCTCAGAGTCTGAGAGTTTTTTAGGTGTTTATATATATATATATATATATATACAGTGCCTTGCGAACATATTCATACCCCTTAATTTTTTTTGGAAAGGCACACATGTCTTAATAATAGGTCTAACAGCTAACAATGCATATCAGAGCAAAAACCAAGCCAAGGACGAAAATATTCATACCCCATTCAACATTCTTTTTTTTCACATTTTGTTAAGTTGGTGCCTTATGCTAAACTGCTTTAAATTACTTTTTTCCCCACATCAATCTACACTCCATACACCATAATGGTAAACCAAAAAACAGGTTTTTACCATCTTTGCAAATGTATTAAAAATAAAAAACTTGAACTTGAATGATTCCACTGCATAAGTATTCATACCCTTATCTGGGACAGTTGAAATTTAGCTCAGGAGCATTCATATTGCTTGTAGATGTTACTACACTTCAAGTGAAGTTACCCTGTGGCAAATTCAATTGAATGGGTATGATTTGGAAAGGCACACACGTCTTAATAATAGGTCTAACAGCTAATAATGCATATCAGAGCAAAAACCAAGCCCTGAGGTCAAAAGAACTGCCTGTAGAGCACAGAAACAGGTTTGTGTCAAGCCACACATCTGGGGAAGATTTCAGGAAAAAAATCTGCTACATTGAAGGGTCACAGAAGCATGTAGTCTCGGTTACCCTTAATGGGAGAAGTTTGAAACAACCATGACTCTTCCTAGAGCTGGCCTCCTGGCCAAACTGAGCAATTGATGGAGAAGGGTCTTGGTTAGAGTGGTAACCAAGACCATGATGGTCACTCTAGTTGAGCTCCATGATCATATATGCAGATGGGAGAAATCTAGAGAAGGACAAATATCACTGCAACACCACCGATCTGGGCTTTACATCGGAGTGGCCAGATTCCATCTTCTCCTCAGTGAAGACAAAGGAGAATCCAGGGACGAAGCAGTGAAGAGTGCAGGGGTGACCATACGCACTGGGCGCAGATGGAGGGCCCAGCAGGAGGTCGATCAAGCCATTAACCGGTTACAACACAAGGAGGTCATGGGAAGAGTCCAACACAGCCGAGCAGGGTTGGGCTGGGGTGGGGAGAGCCAGTCCAGTTCTGGTCCAAAGCCACAAGGGAGCAGAGGAAGTCTTGATTATGTTCTTGATAATTGATTATGTGAGAAAAAAAATACTGAAAGGTGCTCTGAGAGACATGAAACTAGCACAACTATGCAGGAAATCACTTAAGCTTTAATTTCACATTATATATATATATATATATATATATATATATATATATATATATATATAT